ACTGCGTGGGAGGGAATTTCTTTTCATATCCAGAGGAGCCCCTGCGTGAGCCCTTAACGCCTGAGATGAGGTTCCCAAACAGGTCCTGGTGGAAAGCCCTGAGGCGGGAGAGTTGGATGAGGAATTACTCGAGGCAAGAAGCTGAGATTTGATTTCACTTCTGCTCATCCAGTGAACCCGCCTTCCAGCCTCTTCCTTCTTTCTTCCATTTTTGAAAAGGAACCAAGTATTAATGACTCTCTTTGCAGACAAAAGAGAAGCAGCCAGTGTGATGGGAACGTCACGGTGTCATTTTATTGGCCTTAGGCCGGAGGCTCTTTGTCTAAGGACCTTAATATAGGGTCACGGCAATTTAGCAAAACAAGCCAAGTTTTTAAGCTCACCCCTCCCCTCGTCCCCAGTGGTCACCTTCACCTTGGGGCCAGCTCTGTGGGTACTTCCTCATAGACGGGCTATATCTCTTGGGCACTTACTTATGAAATCTCCTTCAGACGAACGGTATGCAAGGAATATTAGGGACAGGCTTGCAAATTGCTGCTGGCTCAGAACCTCGGGAAAAGGCTGCATTTGGGAGTGGGACGCGTGCAGGGAAAGGGGGAGATTAGGATTCCAGAATATCCCCTACATAGAGGGATTCCCCACAGAGCCCTGGGGAGAAGCTATAATCCTGAGTTACTGTGCCTTTCTGGTCAGCAGCCCCATGATGCCAGCTGCACTAGGAGTCCCTCCTGCAGGCCAGGCTTTGTCTAAAGGCCTGGCCAGAGGAATTCCCTTGGGCAATGAAAATCTCATTCTCCACCAAGAGGCTGCTGCGGGGCTTCTGGGACAGTAACCTAAGCAAGACCAGGAAGATATTTTCCTGGGGACACAGCTTTATAAATGGGAGCTAGTTCCCTAAGTTAACCCACAAGAGTGGATTCTATGCTGTAGTTGTGCATTTATGATAGGATTATTTTTCTACTATTTTCCTTTCCCATTATAAATGTATAAAATTGTCTGGGCAGATGGTTTATACCTATAATCCAAGTACTTTGGGAAGCCAAGGCGGGCAGATCACTTCAGCCCAGTAATTCAAAGCCAGCCTAGGCAACATGGAGAAACCTTGTCTCTGCCTCCTGTACCCCAGCAAACAAAAACCAAATAAACCCCAAAAATTAGCCTGGCGTGGGAGCTGGGATTATGCCTGTAGTTCCAGCTACTCAGAAGGCTGATGTGGGAGGATTGCTTGACCCCAGGAGACGGAGGTTGCAGGGGGCTGAGATTGCACCACTGCACTCCAGCCTGGGCGACAAAGTGAGATCCTGCCTCAAAATTAATTAATTAATTAATTAATGTGCAGAATATCTAAAACATTGGAATCCAACAGATTTTGGGAGCCTTGCTGAAAAAGCTAATTATTGTTTGTAAATGTTGTTGCTGGAAGGTCCTGTACAGCAACACAAATAACCAACGTGAACACAAACTTTGGAAGAGTCTCCCTATATTGTCCAGCCTGGTCTCAAAAACTCCTGGACTCAAGCAGTCCTCCCACTTCAGCATCCCAAGGTACTGGAATTATAGGAATGAGCCACCATGACTGGCCTATTGTTCTATCCTCATAAATGGACTATTTTCTTTTGTTTTTGCCCTTTTCAAGCCTAATTGTGAATGTTTTTTACATAGTTGTTAATACAACGTGTGTGCTTTTATGCTTCTGCTTTTTCCATGAAAACTTTCTGTATTAAAACAAAATTTTAAAGCAATTTTACTGTTAAAAGAATCCCTGTGGCCTGGTGAGGTGGCTCACGCCTGTAATCCCACCACTTTGGGAGGCCGAGGCAGGCGGATCACGAAGACAGGAGTTCAAGACCAGCCTGCCCAACATGGCAAAACCCCATCTCTACTAAAACTACAAAAAAATAGCCAGGTGTGGTAGCAGGTACCTGTAATCTCAGCTACTAGAGAGGCTGAGGCAGGAGAATCGCTTGAACTCAGGAGGCAGAGGTTGCAGTGAGTTAAGATCACACCACTGCACTCCAGCCTGGGCAACAAGAGCAAACTCCATCTAAAAAAAAAGAATTCTTGCTTTTTAATACTGCAGCAGTTATAACTCTGTAGAGTAGTATGCATTTCTACACTTTTATTAGATTAGGATATGCTATATTAAGCCAGCCTTCTTGGAAACCCAGCCCCAAGGCTCAGTGGGATTCCCCCATCTGCCTTTTGAAGGTCCTTCCAACAACCCATTCATTATCCAGTGGAATGTGAGCATCAACAAGGCCCAAGCCCCATGCGCGACTCTGTTAGCAGTCTTCCCGTTTGAGTGCCTTAGGCAGTGATTCCCACAGTGAGTTTTGAGGACGCCCATACTGCCACCAAATGTTCCCAGAGGAGTTCTGTAGTTAAGCAGATTTGGAAGTGCTGAATAATACTAGGTTGGACCATATGGTATTGCCCATGTTGAATTGTTTTTGACTTTTAAAATGATACTTTCAGGCCAGGTGCTGTGGCTCATGCCTGTAATCACAGCACTTTGAGAGGCCGAGGTGGGTGGATTTCTTGAGGTCAGAAGTTCAAGACCAGCCTGCCCAACATGGTGAAATACTGTCTCTACTAAAAATTCAAAAACTAGCTGGGCATGGTGGTGGGCGCCTGTAATCCCAGCTACTCAGGAGGCTGAGGCGGGAGAATTGCCTGAACCCAGGCGGCGGAGGTTGTGGTGAGCCGAGATCGCACCATTGCACTGCAGCCATCTCAAAAAATAAAGAAAAAGAAAAATTGGTCATTTCAAAGGATTTGATCTAATATATTTCTAGGGCATCATTATGCATATTAGCATATTAAAGGCTTCAAAAAATCCTACAGACTTAAAAAAACGGTGTTTAATTCACCCAAATTATGAAAATGTAATCCTTTTAAAAATAATAGTTGTTCATATACATCAGGACACCTTCAAGAAAGTAGGCACTGGGGTAATTACAAAAGAATAGGAACCATGAGGAGACCAAAGCACATGAATGAGGGACCCCAGGAGCAGCATCCGGGGCCTTCTCCCACCTTCCAAACTGGATGTAGACGCTGGCTGAGCAGATGCCCAGGAACCAAGGGCAGGCTCGTACTTTTACTTCCCAGGAATGCCCTCCCGTCTTTGATATCCAAAGTCATCATATTTTTCAGGCCTTCCCCTTTGACAGCAATGCTTTCTTGATTCACCTTTCCCCACGTTGGCCTTTTTTGTAATTAACCTATGCTCTTTCCTCTCTCATGAAAGTGCAGGGAGGATTCATGAGGTGATATTAATAGGTCACTTCTTATTTCTCAAATGACAGACACTAAACAAACATGGGTATTGTTTTGACTGTCATCTCATTGTTGTAATTCTAATTACTTTATCTTCCGAGATGTTACTCTCGTCTTAGTTTACAGGTGTTCATTTCATTTGCTTACAGCTACCAGGTGCGTTATGCTGACGTGGTTGTGGGAGGAGATGCACTGTGCCGCTCATGCCTCTGGAGAGAACGTGGATGCTGAAGGCACATGTAGCCAGAATATGAATTAGTTTTTCTGCAGCCACTGGAGGCAAACGTCCAAGACAGGGAATGGAAATGTTGGACGGGGGTAAAATCAGAATACAGTGAAATCATGGCTGGCCAGGACTAAACCCCCAGCGCTTCTCCTTTTTTTTGTCTTTTTTTACTCCACCGTCCCACTATCTGGAATTCTTCCCATAAGAGATCCTTTAACAGGCTTGTCTGTCATTCACATATGACACAAGCCTTTAATAGGGCTGTCTGTCCTTCACATGCTATTAGTATGACCAGTTCTCTAGAGAGTGTAGGCATTTTGACATCACTGTGCAGATCCGATCTGGTCATCTAGCAGTTGTTAGACGTGGGTAGAGATAGTTGTGATACTTCAGGGAAGTGGAAGATGAGAGTTGAAAGCTAGGGTGGGGCTTCCCTATGAGAGCAACTGTTAATTAAAGAGAGCCTGCTTAACTGTAGCTGGGTAAGGTTGAAGTGACGTTAAATGGAGCCCTGACAGTTTTGTGCCCTTGCAGTAGAAGGCAGTGCCCAGAGTGTGTGTACCTACAGAAGAAATTCTTGGACTCTCAGTTACTAGGAAGCATAAGAACAAGCCTTTTGCTTTCTCAGGACGTAAATGGAAGTACAGCCCTTGACTTAGATTCACGGAAAAAGCAAACACTGGGAAACCTTGAACAAGCCAAGCCATGTTTTAGATCCTTGCATCTCATTTGTTACTGGTGGAGCGTGTCCAGGTTCTTGGTGTCTTGAACAAAGAGTTGGACGAAGCAAAGAAAGAATAAAGCAGCAAAAGCAGAGATTTATTGAAAATAAAAGTATGCTCCACAGGGTGGGAGCAGGCCAAGCATAGGGGTGCAATGCTTACAGAATTTTTAGAGGCTTAAATACTCTCTAGAGGTTTCCGTTGGTTACTTGGTGCACATCCTGTATAAATGAAGAGGATGAAGTAAAGTTTCAGTGTCATTTACTCGGTGAACCCCCTATGTAAACGGAGAGGATATTTCCTAATCTAGCTGAAGTGCTTCCATTTGATTTCGTTCTAGGAAGTCAGCATGAATGGGCCCTATGTTCCCAGCGTCCACACTCTATTCTGCCTCACGTTTGTCTACTATAAAAGCCAGAAGATCCTTATAATATGTCCTGAGTTCTCTGAGAGCAATGGGAGAGGGGAGGGGTGTGGACATTG